GAGAGGGGAGGTAGTATGCTGGTATTGCACTTGTGAGATCCCAGGATCGAGCCTCATTTAGGTCGATGGGTTCCGACTAGGGATGAGACTCAAACAGGTCGAAACAACACCACAATGTTTCCTAGCTTTTTGGTTGGCGCTTCGTTTGCTCTGTACTGCTCGGAATTTCCCATACAGTAGCACAGTTTGAGACTGACAGATATAGCGCAAGTGTTGCTGAACACATCTGAAAGCAATGGAAGCGACCAATGACCGGGTGCTATATAACACAGAATGCTGACATGCAAGGTGGGCACGAACGATTAGTGTGTGGAATAAATGGCTCTTTATATATGAATTGAAATCTGGACAGATTTAGTGAAAAAGTAGCGCTCACGAATTCCAAAAAAGATCAAATAGCTTTTAAGGCTTTTCCAAAGGTAAATAACACGTTGATTCAACATGATAACTGTTCACATGCAAAAAAGAAATCAGGTTTGCATGAAACTAATGTACAAAAAGAAGGAAACAACTCACCTTCGGATCATTGATTTCCAACGGCAGAATGAAGAACGGTTCAGCCACAGATACGTGGGTCGCATTTCGAGTGAGTGCGTCCACGGAGACTGGACGGGACAACGAGCCAGCAGAACCACGTGCACCGCCGCGACGTGCAGCGGCGTGATTCACCGTGGATCGGTTCAATAAAACTCCGGAGAAAAGACGTGAAATCGGACTTGATCCACCATCCAATTCCGTCTGTGAGAAGCAGAAAAACCATAGTGAGAAAATATCATGAGTAGTAGTGTGAGAACAAACTAATGTCGTATCTTTCCAATTTGCTCATCCATTTCAGTATAACAAAGGTATAAGACATGAAACCTAAGTGATTCAATTTCCTCAAATCACTGCCTCTTGTACGGCAATTTTATCTGAAACCCAACTTATTCTACCACAGATACTACACACACCTTCGGTTTTGTAATTGTTCTCTCCGCCCCGTCATTCCTCTCCAAAGCTGCTGTTTGCACATTTATCCATCATTCAATCGCTTCCATCCCGTTCTTCCACTTGAAATCTCACCAAACGCGAGTTCCGCGCTGTACGACTGAAAATCCGGTTCTTTCCTTTCTATAGCTACTTCTACACTGTGTACCATTACCGAAATAGTAGCTTCCCTTCACCTATTTATATTCTATCGGAAACCATTGAAAAATCGTTGAACCGGACTCTGAAGCCAACCACACAATTGTGGGCGATTTTAGGATTCCTAATGGGAAATGGTTGTTACACTGTGCAGGGACATCGCTCCTTGGACATTAAGCAGAACCATTTGCCCTATCGAACTACCTACATCAACTATTTGGTTTCCTGACCGTGTTAGCCACCACGCAGATAGCCTCGATCTGATCCTCGCATTCAAACCATATTTATTTTCAGAAATCACCACTCTTCCTCCACTAGGCACAGGGGACCACTTTGTGCCTAAGTTTTCGCTTTTATTCCCCTGGTTCCAAACGCACACTGTGACGATACAGTTTCATGGATTGCGTAAACTGAAGAACGTTGTCGCTTCTTAACCCGGAATGACAGTTGTTTCTCTAGCGATATCTCTACCTCGGCTCGCAACTTCTCCAAATTTGTTTTAAAGGACATGCAATTACTTATTCCGCATTTCTCTAAACCCGGAAAAACTGCTTACCGCAGCATGGTTTGCCACACATTCTGGCGTACTGTTTGTAAAAATAAAACAGCGTTCTGTCACTGAGGTCAATCATCATCGCAACTTTTGCTCCCGTTAACACTTCATACAAGTACGCTGCAACAGTATATCGACTATACAAAAGATTGAGCACCGATTTGTCGAGCGCAAAGCAACACCCAATCCTTTTGACAGCTGGGCTTTCTGATCGCTCGCCAAGTCAGTATCCTGTAATCTTGCCTCTGAAAGCCTCAGTATGGTTGGGGTGGGGTCTGGGGCTGTGGCTGGTCACTCCTTCCTTGAACTCCAATAAGTGCTTTCATACGACCAAGCGTCTCGAGCAGCCTCTGTTGAGCAAGTTCTACTCGCTGGCTTCTTGTTGCGGTATTTCTCCACCAAAAAGAGAGGATGAAAAGCCAACACCGAGCTTATAACTGGGTGGGAAGAAACATTGGCAGTTCACCTAAGGGAGTTGATTAAAAACCCTGATTCCAAACCAACCAAGAACGGGTGAACGAACCACGCACAGGCGGGTTCCTGGTTGCGGCAGTGGTCCCCGTATGGTGCATTGGACAACTTAGGCGTTAAAAAAGGCCAAAGCAGGTGAATTTTCTTGGGGGGGGGGTGCACAATCGGAGCCATCGGCTACACAAAGATTGACCCGCAAGGCAGTGTAAGAAAACCGCAGTCCATTGGGGGCCGGTGACCAGTTCATCGGATCATATGCCCTTTGGACGGGGTATAACGTCGAAGGTGCTCAAAACACCTCGACATCCAATCGAGTCGTTGACCACTACCACGACCAGGAAGGTGTGACATTGCGCTAACATGTCTCGCTTGGACAAGCCGCGAGTGCACCGACTGCGAGCATGACGACAACCCATACAGGATTACCATTACCACTGCAGATGTAACTGCCTAATTAGATCAACTGATTTAACTTTTTTTATGGCTTCCCCAGTTCAAATGCGATCAACCCAATCCGAACACACGGCATTTCATTTGTGGAAGGTGTAAAACACATGCCAAACACATTCACACTAACGATGAAACCCTTTGAAAAAGCTTCCAGTTCATTTTGGTTCTCGCGCACAAACGAAACAACATTGATCATATATTCTAGATCAAGTAAATAGCACTCTGAGAGCAGCGGCGATTCTAACCTCGTAGAGGGATAAAGCCATTGCTTGAACAATAGTCATAACAAAAGTTCAAACACTGTTTTTTCCGGTCAGATCAGACAGAAGGAGAGAACCGTAATTTTGAAGTCAGTCTCAGGTGTGAGTTAAAGTAGACATGGTTCAATATCTGTGCTATATAGGTGGCGTGAAACATCATCAAAGTAGTGCCTGACTGCAACACCCGCATGCAAAACGCATTCCGGGGAATAAGCTTTGCACACAAGTAAGGCAAAAAACAGCACATGCGACCGCCAGAGTAATCTAACCTTACGGGCCTCTGGGCGACGTTTTCCTGTTCGATCAGTCACAATCCAATCCGATTCGTCATTATCCTCATCGTCCACAGCAGTCGCACCAGCCTGAGCACCACGCGTTGAAGAGTTCTCCACATGCGCCGTTTCTTCATGGAGCATGGTGAGGATTTGGGTCAAACACTCCTGGGAAAAGTGAAAGTAAAAATGACATCGTGTGTCATAATATTGCACCCGGGAAGCCTGGTTAACTGAACTGCAAGAGACCTATAAATGAATAACCCTCAGTGTCACAGCATTCCGTTGGCCGTACATATGAAGCTGAAGGAATGGATAGATCAGAAGGGAAACCCTCTGGAGCTCAGGTTTTGAAGTCCTGTATTGTACATAAAAACCACTATTTCAATGCACACAGAGGCCTAAGGATGGTTTAAACATGCGGGAATAACAAGAGAAAACCGCATTCTCCTATTGGTCAGATCGTTCCTGCGTACCACGCGTATCTATTACATTGGTACCCGAGGATATCAGAAACTACTTCCATTACACAAGGAACATGATATTCAACCCAAATTAAACAACACCTTGGGGTGTATGAGGAACTTGGTAGGGAAGAACCTCTCACTCGGAAGGCTGTCTTGGTCTTCGGTCCTCACCAGGCGCTTAGCTCTCACCTGTGGCTCCAAGAAGCGGTCTGGATGCAGCAGCAGCCACACCCCCGTAAACTGCTTGACAGGCGGACGAAACCAGGTTGAGGGCAACCAGGAGCTCAACTCACGGCGAGTCGCTGTCTAACGAATGAATACGGTACTAGCGCGTTGGGCGGATGAAGTCGCTTACGCGATCAAACGGTACTCACCAGGGATGCATGAACCTCTGTTCTGTTAGAAACCGTTAATGGTGTATGACCTTCCCCCTCCATCCAAAAGGGCCAGCGACAACTATGCGCTACCTTCCTGCCTCCTTGCAGTTAGCACTTGGATGTACAAAGTCAAGAGATGCTACCTCAACCTAAAGCTGGGTGACACTGAGGACGTTTCCTATACCTAACTAGCAAGCGATTTCATGAAATGTCCATGAAGCCGACTTATCCCTCCCAAGGGCCAGCCGTCGTAAAGTAAGTGAGTAACTTCAGCTGGACTCAATCAATGGTGGCTCCCAACAAATCACAATTAAATCTGACTTAAGCTTTATTAGAGAAGACGTAGCCCTATGAAGAAGCCCTGAACTCGGCCATTAAACAATTGTATACAGTTGAGGGCTTGCTCAAGTAGGGCAAACCTGTTCGCCTTCGACAAACAAGCACTGATGACTGTACGCTTTTTTCAACTTGTAAATGAGGAAAAATCAGAATTATGGGGTCATTCATGATGGTTCTTGGGAACACAACAGAGTGACGTGCTAGGCAACACTCTTCAAGGGTGCACAACTGAACCTCGACTAAGACACTACCTATAGAAATACAAGCGGACATCGGTGACCCTATTTAACTGTAATTTATTATTCAGTGAAAACAGTATACGCTTATTTACGGTTATTCACCTACATGACAGATCCCCTATCCACAATCTAGAAACGCACCAAGTGATGAACAGTTTCATTAGGTGAAGTTCATTGCAAAGCTAATGGAATTCAATAAGAATTCCATAAAATCTTCATGGAGATTGGTTGTTAGAACGAATAAAATAATCAATATTTGCTGCACCATTTCCCTGAAAATAGAC